CATAATATTCTGAGATATTTTGATTATTATTAGAAAAAAACTGAGAATCGGGATCAATATTTGAGGTAAAATTTTCTGTATTGTTTAAAAAGGGAGAAAAACATAGGTTGGATAACCGATCAGGACTCCAGGTGCTGTTACAACTACAATTAACATGAGACATAATAACATAGAAAAAACAAAACACAAACAATCACATAAAAAATACAATTTTAAAGCAAAAGTTACAAAAAATCAAAGAAGTCAGAAGTATAAAAAAAATAATAATATTAGGTTTTAGAGGCTATAGTTATTGATTATATTCATTACAATTCACCTATTAGGCCTACCTATTTCCCAAACGCTGCAAGTCAAAAAAAAAAAAACAATACAAGCCCTTACGTATACGATGGACTAATATACTTTTTGAAATCACATTTCTAAAGCAATACAATATCGTCACGCACATTTTGTGTTTGTGGTACAGTATTTTAAAGTTGGTTCAACTATTATTGTGTACATTTTCAAACACTTCAGATCATCATAACTTCATGAATACATTTTAGATTCAGTTCACTGCAAGTAGGTAGATGACTGTTCTATTATTGAATGGTAATTGTTATCATCGTGATGGAATAGAAAATACCTGGATTTGCGTCAGGAGAATCAATTAGGGGCCTATATGTATTTTGCCCAACCTGTCGTGAAAATGTATTGAATACTCAGTGCGTGATTCACTAATACACTTTTTGAAATCACATTTTTAAAGCAATAAAATATCGTCACGCACATTTGTATTTGTGGTATTTTAAAGTTGGTTCAACTATTATTGTGTACATTTTTAAGCACTTCAGATCATCATAACTTCATGAATAGATTTTAGATTCACTTCACTACAAGTAGGTTGATGAATGTTGTATTATTGAATGGTAATTGTTATTATCGTGATGGAATAGACAATACCTGGATTTGCGTCAGGAGAATCAATTAGGGGGCCTATATGTATTTTGCCCAACCTGTCGTGAAAATGTACTG